TAAAGTAAGAAGATAACTGCTCACGACTCTGACAGTCACCTTAGGGACAGAAAATATTTAGAACAGAGGACGTTACTTGCATTTACCATTGACATTAATGTTTGGATGTGTGGACCAGAAAACATTACCAACGGATTAATGTTTTAGACTAGGAACACACAGAATTAATGGGTGATAAAAGCATAAAGGGATTTAGTATTAAATAGCTTTTATTATGAGGGTTACAAGGATAAAAGAGGTATTCTCTTGTGGTGGTTTAATACTTCACAAAACGCGAACCTGAACTGATACTAAATTGAGTCAAGTGGCTCTTAGAGTAGTAGGGAATCTTATAATATCACTACCCAAATGTTATGAGCCTCAGAGCTGTGATTTCTGCTTTAAATTGATGCTTAAGAGCAGCACTTCTAGGAGAAGCTCTTCTTTCTCTTAATGCTTGTGTATGCTAGAAGCAGGTATTTGAGATAAATCTAGTATATAACCAAACTGGCAAAAATTGTTCTGTCCACAGATCTGACCATGTGGGAAGCGGGAGGGGAGAGGGGAAGCAGGGAGGCAATCTTTGAGACATGACCCAAATAGTTTTATGGAGCAAAGTGCACATCTTCAATTCAACTGATAAAATGAACTATGGAGTATATGCTGTAGAACTTCTGTTTGTATAAAGTACATAATGACATCATTGTCTTTTTCAAAATGCTTGTAGGAATGAAAGGTATGTGTACTACTTGTGGGATGAGACTGTCACGGATAATCATAGCAAAGTCTTCACCAGACAGAAATTCTTTTATGCATTACGCATGTTTTTACCCTACGTAAAGAAGGAACAGAAGCTTGTCATGCTTATGTAGGTAACCAAGCACCAGTTGAGGCCATTAAGCCTAGGATTATATTCTGTGTGTCTCTGCAGAAGGCCCATGGTCAAAGAAGCAAGGGTTTTAGGCACACCCTGGAGTAACAGCAGCGCTGCTCTGAAGCACCCAGCACAGCACCCACAAATGGGAATAATGAGAAAGTGAAGGTTTCACAACTGGTATTTTACTGTTGTCTCTCTTTTCTCATAACTAGCATGTTATAACGGAGCAAAGAGCCATTGTAGTAGTAATCACTTCTCAGAAAAGGAATTGACAGGCAAATGTAAACAATTAGGGTTCTTTTTAAGAACCTGTGGATGCAGATTGGAAACAGCAGTGTGATGAGACAGAGATAAGTTTGATAAGGCAATATGGACCAAACCTTGAAAATGACAGAAATAAAATGTAACCCTACTTCTTATCATGAAAAATGCATTGCAGTAATTTTAGTATGTCTTGTACTATAAAGGAGGCAAACCCCCATGAATTAACTAGGTCCTTCCCTTACCATTTCAGCAGTCCCTTGTGTATTAGGAATTGCTAGCAATAAAATGTTTTCCTTTTAATTTGATTATGCCTTACATGGGCAAATGACTTAACTGCCTTTGGCCAACTCTATGTTCAGTTATGCCATTTTATAATTATATTCCATAGACTCATTTTCACTCCTTGCCATTTATGCTATGGCTCTTCCAGTAGTAAGCTCTGATGTTGTGTGCTTTTTAGTATTTAGCTTGAATATAGTCCAGTCAAAGTGGTGCTGTAAAATTAGCTGGAGACTTCAACAATTTGGTTTTCTAGGAGGCAAGCTTTCTCTTTGCCACGTGGGTTGTTTTTTTCTTCTTACCCATGACAGCATATGCAAGTGACACTACTTAGTCTTTTACTTGTTTTGTTTGACCCTTGATTTTAGTGATTCCCGCCTCTCCCCCCCCCCGCAAACATTTATCTTTTTTTCTCCCTTGAATTTATACGCGTCATCCTATCCGTTTTCCAAGTTAGACTCTGCCAGCTCATAACTGTATGTGCCAAGCTTTCAAGAATGAACAGAACTAAAATAGATATGGAGCTTCCTTAGAAACTGTTAGGATCACCAGTAGTCATGAAAAAAAAATCGCTGTTTCAGGTCACAGCAATTTAAGCTAGATGTACTTCATAGCTTTTGAACAAAACAAATAATAGAGGAAAAGATATTGAAAAGACCTTAAAGCAGAAATTTTTTATGAATATTGATGCAACTGAACTCAGAAAGGCAGGTACATGTATACTTCACATTTATAGTGCAAGAAGCCAGTCCTGTACTTGATGGAAATGCGTATTGGGGATAGAGATTTTTGAAGCATAATCAGTCTGTTTTCATCAGTTACAGGGCTAGCTACACTGCTCTGTTTTTTGCAGTCTGTGAGTGAACTCCTTTATTCATTGGCCATCATACATCTTCCCAATCTGTAATGAAATTTGCAGCTTTCTTATGCTTGGAACATAAGCTGAGCTACAGTACAGCTTTGTATCCATCATGGTTACCCTGCTGAGCTGGCTGCTTTCAAACACCTGAGGCTCTTCCCTGGTCCATGGGAGAATTTTTGAACACTAGTGAATATAACGACCAAATAGAATACTTGAAACAAAAGTGCTGTTTATATGATAATAGCAAAAAAAATGTTAAAGAAGGGGTTTATAGAAATTAAAGTATACATATCAAATAGTATTAACCGAGGAAATGAAAGTCAGATTGTTTCTGTGTATTGTCAGGCCCACATTGAAATTGTGGATATGGTGAATTTCTGCTTATGGGGAGACAGTCCTCAAGAAGACAAGCCTTTCTTCTAAGAGGTTCCTGTGTATTTGAACTATGTATATGCACATATATATTTTTGTATGGCATATGTTATAAGCATCAACTTCACTGATTCTGACAAAAAAGAAAGCCATGTCTCATATTAGAACCATTTCTTTAATCTACTGCACAATGTCTCATGCAAG